GGTCTACAGTTCGAATCTCCCTACAGCCTACAACCTACGGCGACCTACTTACCACTGGCTATTGTGCAGGTCACGGGTTCAACTCCAGGGAACTGCGCAGATACTGTACACAGGTAAGCTGAGGTCAAGGGATCGACCCCTGGGATCTGCATCGGCTACTGCCAAAGGTGAAAACTGTTTCAATACGATCTGCCATCTGTAGTCTGGGCGCCGAGCGCCAGATAGGATATCAACATTGGTTCTTCGTTGATGATGATGATGGGACTATTTCAGCATTGTCAATTATGAACTCTTGGTGTGCTCTTATTTCGCGAAACTCAGGATGCAATTCTGCTGTTGGTTCGAGGTCACGACTATCTGGTCTCATATGTATGATGGTGTTTGATTGCTGAAGTTCGCTATTGCTCATCTTCCTTGCACTGCTCTCTATTCAAAATGTAATGACACTCAGGCTAGGAGTTCTACCTTCTCTTTCATTGAGCTTTTCGGTTTGTTTCTTTCTCCGAGTTCATTTTCAATGCCCGTGGAGACTCATGATCAAAGGGAAGAGAGAGAAGAGAGAGAGAGAGAGAGAAGAGGAAGAGTGGGAAATGGATCGTCTTGAGTGGACAAGGACTGGGAAATGGAGCGTTCGCCCAAGCGAAAGGGAGAGTGTACCCCTTGAGAGTCTGATTGATTCCTTTGCTGGTTGGCGTCTCTCCAACCCATTTGTCCACGGTAACGATCCAAAAATGGCCCAGCCACAGCTAACCTCGGCACAGTGGCAGGCCTAACCGAATGCAACTAGTGAGGTGGAAAAACCGCATCTGTGGGCATTTTATGATAGTACCCTGAAAAGGGAACAGCGGATGGAGGAAGAGAGGAAGAAAATGTTGCTCACAAATCGGTTGTCATCTTGGAAATTGTTCTCTTACTGAGCAAAGAACAGTGTGGGGAACAACGGCAGCCTATCCTCACCGCTATTGTTCAAGTCTGGAACCTTGAGGAGCATACCACAGCTCTCCGAAGTCTTTGCAAAATTGTGGAAACTCCAGGAGGATCTGACTGATATGACTGGCAAGTACCGTGACTTGACGGTAGAGGTGGCAAGCCCCATCATCTGCTGATTCCAAGGTTGACGCGTGCAATGTTCTCTTATGTCGACCCTTGGAAGGAGTCCGAGATGGTTAACTTCCACTACCACCTAGAGCCCACAGTCACTAAGAGTGAGCCGTTAAGGCACACGGGAATGTGGGCAGCTGGTGCTTAACCATCATCAATGTGGCCAGCTGGTGCTTAACCATCATCAATGTGGCCAGCCTTGTACGTAAGAGGGACAGTAAGAGGGGTGTTGTAAGAACAAATAAACTGGGAAGCCTCTCAACAATAATAACGATGAACATCGTCACGAAAACATTGCAATTGACAGTTGTTGACCTAGTGTTTTTTTGCTGACTGTCTCATTGTTGGGTAGGCCCCTTTCAGGTGTGCTGCGTTGCTTGCATAAAGGTCAGGTTCCTATGCTTTTGGATCTACTCATGTAGGCATTGTTTGCGTAAAGGTAACATTCCTATTGTATTTCATGATGCTGGCTATGGAGGCAACACTGGTTGTTGGTGGATTGCTTCATCTCAAGCATGCTTCATCGCCTACAATAGAGGTAAAGTTGATGCGATCTTGGATCTACTTACCTGGGTGGAATAGGGGATGTTGTGGTGTTGTGGTGTTGTGGTGAACATTCACAACACACACACACACACACACACAAACACACACACACACACACACACTTCTCTCTTTTTGTGGTTGGATATGTCTTGTTGGTTTTGTTGATTATACATGGCCTAATTCTTTGCCCTGCTTTAGAGCATGGGCTGTTTGGATGTTTACGGGTGGCCACAAGTTATGAGTAGTACACAAGGAGAGGGAGTACACATCGACAGGGAGCACACACGAGGAGGGAGAAGAAAAGGGGTTACAAAAAGGGGGGAGAGAGAGAGAGAGAGAGAGAACACACCATGGTGTGTGTGTGTGCCTTCCTACCCTACCTTCAGTTGCTCATATTCCTCTTTCAGTGACGGTTGACCTGCGCCAGAGCTCTCTCGCAATGCCGACCGCTTTTCAAGCGCAAGCTGTGCACTTTCAAACTTCCCTACAGCAAGGGACAAAAAAAAAAGGAATTAAATTCAATAAACTCGTGATGAAAATTCCATCATCAGATGACTACGAAATCAGACAGGTGACTGAAAGGCATCCCTGTCAGATTTGACAGGTGATTGATTTTTTTGGGCTTAAAGCACTATGTTCTTCCCCCGAATAGAACGTACGGTCATTATGACAGTATTTGGGGCAATTTTCAGTCCACATACAGGCATAATGACCGTATGTTCTATTCGGGGGAAAACAGTAGTACCTCTGCCAGTGTTGGGAAAATAAGGAAAATCGGGGGCAGGGCCCAACAACAGCCGCCGTTGATAAATCTCATCGGCGGCCGTCGTTTCGTTTCGGCCTCCTAAGAGATCAGAGGCCCACCAGGGGCCTCTCTATTTTCCCACTGGCGGATGTACTAGTGGTTTAAAAGAGCTTGCCTTTTAATTATTAAACAAAAAGAAAAACGTCAGGTTCCAACAAGGTGGGTGAATGGTACACACATCTACCTGCTGATAAGTTCAACAGATCAAGATTTCAAGTCTTGTTCCATTCGACATTGAAATCAATAAATAACAAAGATGAGTCAGTGCGACCGCATGAGAAAGTAGGTGTGTGCATGACAGATTTAACGAATCTCACACGAGCAGTCGATGACACATCCAAACCAATCTGAGTATAGAAAGTGAACACGGTAATAGATAGTAATCATCGTAACGAAGCCCATGATCACCATGCATTCAAATCAGATGGAAATTACACACAGAAATTTACCAACCACGTCTGCAACCGAGCTCACAAACTGACCACGCAGCCAGTCATTGGATAAACATGCCCGTTCATGGCGACACATTTCGATAAACATTCAACTGTTTATGCAACACGATGCGAAACACACAATAACAGACCACTCCACAAAAGCAAAAAAAAAAAAAAAAACAGATTGCCACAGTACTCGTAGCTGGCACTAAATGGCTCAGATGGTACGTCCTGGGCTCGCGGCAGACATTCAACTCTTTACGTAACACGATGAGAAACACACAATAACAGACCACTCCACAAAAGCCAAAAAAAAAAAAAAAAAAAAAAAAAAAAAAACAGATTGCCACAGTACTTGTAGCTGGCACTAAATGGCCCAGATGGTACGTCCTGGGCTGGGGCCTGTAACACAGACAGCGTGACATTGCGACCTGATGGTACCATGCAAACACGTGCCCAGGCAATGTGGTACTCAGTGAAGTGGGTAATAGTAACGCAGGGTACTACACGAAACAGATATTACCGAGTGGACTGGGGGGTAGTAGTACGCCACAACAGCGACATGTGTCGTGGCTATGTGGTACTTAGTGAGGTGGGTAAGAAACCGCAGGGTACTACGTGAAACAGAAGTTACTGAGAGGACTGGGTGGTGTATGTTGCAACAGTGGTGCTATGTCGGCTAGGAGGTCCCATCACAATGCGAAGGCAGCTGCCTTAAAAGTCGAAAAACCTTGTACTTCAGCAAACCCTCGACATTCACTTGATTCCTACCCGCACTCGGAAGTACATGAAAGAGGCGGCGAGGGGTAGGATAAAGGTGTATCAACAACTGATCGATCAGCTCGCCTAGCCCAGCTGTTGCAACAATTACCTATTGACGTACAGATCCGACAATTGCCCCCCGAATAAGTCGAATAAAATCAAATAAACCAAGACGGCCAGTGCGGCTTTGCCCGCATGACAAAATCAGTCAGAGCCTCGTCACTAACTATCACAACCACCGAGAAGGTGATTATTTTCTTCAAACAATCACAGACACACAAACTAAACATTAAGCCCCACTCTAACCTAGGTGAAACTTAAGGAGTTTTGTAGCCCAATCCCGTTCCCCCAACCGCGCACCGACCAAGCCCCCAACAAACCCAGCCCCTCAACCAACCCACCCCGTCGACCGACTCACCCGACCGAGCCGCACACAACCAATAACCCACCCACGCACCAACCCAACCAACCCACCCACCCCACCAATCAAACCAACCCACCCACCCCACCAACTAACCAACCCCACCTACCAACCAACCCCTCTCTATATCTACCTCCCTTTCCCTCCCGAGACCCGAGCGCACACATGCATGGGTGGGTGGACGGGCACACAGGCACGTAGCCATGCATGTGTGTGTGGGGGGCCTGCTTTTTGTTTTTTTTTCCCCATCTGTTTTCCATTTTTGGCTTTCCATTTACCTGCCCGTTTCTTTTTCCTGTTATACCCCCTTGCCTCGAACTCGGGTCTCCGTTTTCGACACACACTCTGCCAACGGTTTCCTTCCTTTTCTCTGTGTTCCCCCGGCTCGAGCTCGGGTCTCTGTCTTCAACAGACGTGCTGTCTTCCCTGCACGCGCGCTGCCTCATCATGGCACATTGTGTCAGACGTGTCAGGGCACACACACATCCTTTCGGACTGCTCATCTTTTTTCCTCCTTTTCTTTTCGCATGCGGCCCCGAACACGGCCACATTCGTCCCCCCAAAAATTGCGATCGTCTGAACAATCTCGCCCCTCCAACACTCTGGTGCGCTGTCATCATGACACGACATTTCAGACACGAAAATGCTTTCTGACTCCTTTTCTTTTTCTTTTGCATACAACCCCTAGCGCGACCGTATTCAGGCCCAAAAAATTCCGCTCGTCTGAACCCTTCGCTCTCTCGAAAATTGTCTGACACTCTGGGAAAATCTCGGAAAATCTGGGAAAATTCTCGCATTCGCAGAAGCTCTCTCTTTTCACTGACAGTTTTCTCGACCAGGCAGACTATCCACCTGTCCGCCAACCGCAAAACCAAGTGTCCACCAAAGAAAGGATTTTAGGAGGTATATCAACCATTCGTTTCCACAATCGCAAGGGCCCAATTGGCCACGACTGCGGGGTGTGTCAGAGCCCGCGGCTGATAAACTTTAATACGTTAGTGTGGATTCATTAATCAACTAATTAATTAACAATGTGGCACGACTCGAAAAATGTACTTCCTGTCATAGTTACACACCTCGCCAGTAGTTCTCGACCTCGTCAACACGCGACTGCCATTCCTCCGCCTGCACCCTCATCTGCGTTTTACACGCCTCCACCTTCATCACATACTCCTTCACTTGTAGCTCCCATTTTGCTTTCTCCAAATTCCTGATGCCAGCAAAAAAAAAAAGAAAAAGAAAAAAAAAGGTGCACTGGTTCAATGATAACAGCACTGTTACAGCACCTCAATGTTTCATCCCTTCATCCAAACTGCATGGTACATCCAAAAAAAAAAAAAAAAAAAAAAAAAAAAAAAAAAAAAAAAAAAAAAAAAAAAAAAAAAAAATCATGGTACATTACAAAAGTGTGCAAACACCAGATGCAGCAAAAATCCCCAAAAAAACTAGCAAAAACAAAATTTGAAGAACAGCGGAAATTTCAGGACCAATTCGTTACCCGAAAAAAAGTCAGCCCAACACACGTTGTGTTAACTGTCCATCCTCACTGAACCATCACCTCTCTCTCTCTCTCTCTCTCTCTCTCTCTCTCTCTCTCTCTCTGTCATTCAGTCAGTCTGTGAGTCCGTCAGTCCGTCAGTCAGTGTAAGTCGTCAGCAGCACGGCTTTCTTAAAACGAGATATCATCCAGGTGCTGTGTTCTAGAGCTGCGACCAGCAGAAAAGAAATTTTGACGAAGACTATACTACTCACCATCACACCATGATTCGGATAAGATGTATGATCACCAGTTTCTTGAGCACATGCAGAAAAATTCTGAAGCAAGGGAGTTGAGAGAGGGTCTGAAAAGTCAAAAGCACTAACCACATTGACATCTGCTCATCCCGCTCCACAATCAACGTCTTATATGCTTTGACGGCCGCGTCCATTTCCAGCAGTGCCGACGCTGCCTCCTGTTTAGCAGCCTTTAGCAGCAAACAATGAATTCGCCCCAAACAAGTGACCACATGCATTCACCTCCAAGAAAAGTGAAGTGTTGTTGGATATAATAATAAACTTAAATAAAGTTAAATAAACAAACAATTCAATCAAAATGAGAAGCTGTAAAAAACACAACTGCGAAGTTGTGCGAACAGCTCGTCAGCCTTCGTCCTCATGCATTCACCCGACAAAAGTGACCACATGCATTCACCCCCAGAAAAGATCCTACCGGCAGCAAAAAGGACTCTCTGGTCCAAAGCATGCATAATCAATTCCCCCCCCCCCCCCGAAAAAAAAGGCCCGACAAGTGCGACAACAACAGCAATGATTCCTTTTCAATACTTCAATACTTCAATACTTCAACTCATTCTGGCACCTTTCTTTTCACTTTTTTCTTTTTTCTTTTTAAAGGACGACACCTTCAGATATCATCTTCGAACCGACCAGCCCCTGGTACTTCAAGACTTTAATTCACCTAGTTCCATTTGGATTCAAACTCAGATCGATATTTCAATTGTCAACAGTCCATTTGTGTACAACCTGAGCTGGGCCCATCCGTATTCTGGCACTCGTTTGCGAAAGCAAACAAGAGGAAACATGCATGCATAGTCAGAGAGAGAGAGAGAGAGAGAGAGAGAGAGAGAGAGAGAAGAGAGAGAGAGAAACGTAACACAAGAACATGCAGGGCATGCACAATATCCGCGCATATTGAACGCAATCGACTGGCAAAACAAAACAAAAAGTGAAGTGGACACGGACGGTACTCTTACGGGTGTTCGTGATCCGCAGCGCTAATCTTTGGTTAGCGGACACGAACGGGGACGGTGCTTAATGGAACAATAGGAGGTTCTTGGGGAAATGGACTGTTTTATGACCGTAATATCATGAGATTGTACTTTTGTCGACTTAACATTTCTTCGACAGTAGTTTTTGGCTTCTCTGCATGTGTACGTGCGAGATTTCCTAACCACACTAACCACAAAAAAAAAGCAAAGCAGAAAAAAAGAAGAACACGCAGGGCGAACAAAAAGCCGCAGTCATCGCCCGTATGGATTTCTGCGACCGCACCCACACCAGGAGGGCTCGGGGACGCCCAAACCCCCTGCGTGTTCCATGGTGTGGGCCCGTCACCCACACCAAGAAAATGACCTCCCTCTTGGTGTGGGCGACCATCCCGGGCCCAAACACCCTGCAATTTTCATCGACTTCGTCACTGGGCTGCCGGTGTGAAAGCATAGAAATGAATGCTCTTTAAAAAAAAAAAAAAAAAAAAAAAAGAATGCTCTTTGTCACCATCAATCAGTTTTCCAAGCTTATGAGGCTATCACCTATGTAGAAAAGGCATTCTTCAGGGACGAGGGAAGGGAGGCAGGGACAGGGAGGGAACGAGGGGGGAAAAGCAATTGAGCGTGGGGAGGACAGGAGGAGAGGGAGGAGTGGAGGGGGTGAGGATAGGAGGGAAGAAGGAGGAGATGGGGGAGGATAGGAGGGGGGAAAGGCGGAAGGAGGGGCAAAGGGGGAAGGAGGGGAGGGGGGTGATGGGGGTGAGGGAGGGAATGTAGGATCGGGAGAGACATAGGGGGTGTGACTACATGCAGTACCTTGGAGGCTTCCTCAGCAGCCGTAATCCGGTCGGAGCTCTTGGCCAGCTTGAGCTCATCGTCCTTCTTCTTAAGCAGGGCCTGTGCCCTCAGCTTGTACGAGGCATTATCCTTCTTCAACATGGCCAACTGCCAACAACAACAACAGCAACAACAGGTAAAAACAACTAGCAAGATGGGAAAACAAGCAATGAAAGGTTAAGATTCTTAAGAAGAAAGAGGAAAAAGAAAAAGGATGGGAAAACAAACAAACAGTGATTGAATATATACTTGCGAGTGCATGTCGTGCGTGCATCTGCCTAACTGTGGTGCACTGTCGTAGCACCCATGCATGGCGCGCAGAATGCAAAGCACCAAAGAAAATTGGGGGGGGGGGGGGGGGGGGGGGGGGGGAGGGGGGAAACAACACGTGATGTAATCATGTAAAACCTAGGCTACCAGTTGTCCGAGATGGCAGGACGTCTTGGCCGGACAGTCAGGGAGGTCCCGGACGTCCGGGCCCGACAACTCCATTTCCAGCAGTTCAAAGCACGAAAATAAAAATAAAAATGGGGGTCTTTATTACTCTGTAATTTTTTATTTTTTTTTAATTTGATAAAGAATTTCGATGTGACCCCAAGGCAGAAGTTGTTCAGTTTATTTTTCTGCATAACATAGTTTTTTCTTTTTTCTTTTTCTTTTTGGCATTCAGGATTGGACAGACTGCCTCGGGAGGACGTACGACTGGTTGTGCGACCGGACAACCCCGGACAGTCAGGGGGGGGGCCGGACATCATGCCCCGTGACATAGTTGCATTCAGACTCGACTTGTCCACACGTGAACAGCAGCAAACAAACTGGCGACATGCGCCCACACAGTACTCAGAGATATCGCAACCAGATAAGAGTTCTCCTTCAATTGGCTATGGCGGCTGTGCGCCCAAACAACTCACTGTTCACACTCTGGATCACCCTGGATGTCCCACGCACATCACTCTGAACACCCACACAGTACACACACACTGCACTCTATACTAAGCTATGGCAGCTAAGGCTGCCGCTACCTATCGCTATGGCTATCCTGCTTCACTCCCGCCCACTTCGTCTTCGGGCATACTGCAGACCTCCTTGCACAAGACGCTAAAGCAGCGCTTCCGCATGGCTTCCGCACGAATGAATGAATGGCTGGGCGCAGCCTCTTGCTTTATACTTCTGAGATGCGTTGGTCTGCCCTGTATCCCTTGGCCCACGGTGTGCACAGTCCCAGACGGTACTTGCTTGACTGGACCGGACTGGGTGGACTGGGACTGCTGACTGTACGTGGTGGACTGCCACCACTTGACCACTTGCCTCTGCCTAACGTAGGCTGACTCCGAAAGGCCACTTCTAGAACTCTCTGTTTTGGCCTTTCGGTACTGTAGCAGCTACGACTTTGCCCTTTCAGGTAAGTAGCAGCTACGACCTTGACCCTTCGGGCAGTCTACAGCTACGACCTCTAGACTGTCTAGGCATCTAYCCGACAGGTCTACAGTTCGAATCTCTTCTACCCTGTAACCTACGAAATCCTACCTACCACTGGCGGTCCTACAGGTCGCAGGTTCAAATCTACGGGTTGACACCGGTACTGTACACAGGTAAGATGGGGAACTAGGGATCGAGCCCTGGGATCTGCATCAGCTACTGCGAACTGGTGAATACCGTTTCACTCCTGCCAGCCTAAATTCGAGGTCCTCCGAGAAAATTTCAGTCCAAGGCAGGACCTTTACCTCTCTGTTGTCTCTCGCAGGCCCGGACTATATCGGGAGCTGTCTCTAGAAGTTCAGATCTCGTAAACCAGCGGTCGTCTTCCAGTTCTTGATAACTAAAATGAACCTTGTACTGTTTCTGTGGACAACCCCTACCTCCAGTCCTGAAGACATCTTCAGCCACTATACCATCGATGTCATATCTTCCATCCATATCTGGTGGGATCATCGACCTACGGGATGGAAACTGATCACTTGTTTGACAAGGTAGCAACTTCGATGCATGGAAAACTGGGTAAGTGTGGAGGTGTGCTGGGAGTTCTATGGTGTAGGACGGCCCATCTTCTCCGCCTTTTGACTTCCAAGACTGGCCACGGTCCTCTATAGGTGGGCAGTAACTTTTGCGAGATGTTCTCCTCAGGGGCAAACTCTTTAGAACTGACCCAGACTAAGTCGCCTACTTGAAACTGTGAGGGGCGACGATGCTTGTCGGCTTGCTCTATCATCTTATGCTGGGCCCTCCTGAGGTTTTCTACAACAGTAGCTAGTTCTTTTTCGTGTTGCATAGCAAACTCCCTGGTCCCGGGTGGCAATCTGTGAATCTGATCCCGGTTGAGTCCTTCAAATGGTCTACGGGGCCTAAAGGACTTGTGCAGTTCGTTGGGAGTGCGGCAGGTGGACAGATGCACGCTACTATTGTATGCACTAGCTACTTTAGGCAGCATCTCATCCCAGTTAATCTGATCTGGCCTAATGTACATGCGCAGAACTTGCTGTAGGATCTTGTTCATCTGCTCTGTCTGACCATTAGTCTCAGGATGGCGGCCGGACGACATCAACAACTTAGATCCATACACTCTCATGAGTTCTTGCCAGTTCTGGCTGGTGAAGCGACTATCTCTATCGCTAACTATTGACAGTGGGATTCCATTCTCACTCACCCAACAGTCAAAAGACTTCTGTATGACTAAATCAGTACGTGCCTCTGAAGGCAAAGGAACAAAAACTGCGTACTTACTAAAACGGTCAACTATGACCATGACTTGGCTCTTGCCATGCCTGCTCTTGACCTGAGTGTCCATGAAGTCTATGGACACTGAGTCTCCCGGCTGATCCGGAATGGGCAAGGGTCTGAGGAGACCTAACGGGGCACGCGTAGAAGTCTTGTTACGCTGGCAGACTTTACAGCTGCGAACATACTCCACGCAGTCATTCTTCATTCCTGGCCAGGTATATGCGCGCATCAGATTGGCTAAAGTCTTCTGCCAACCGAAATGACCCTCTGTGTCGTGGCATTCTCCCAAAATCAGACTACGGATCTCTTCACTATCGGGAATGCACAGGCGGTCAAATACATTAGTCTTCTCAAAAAGCAACCCTTCCGTAGTGCGGTAGTTTGGCTCAGTCTGTGGGGCCTCCTTGACCTTCTTGAGGAGGTCACTATAGATAGGGTCTTGTGCATAGGCTTCTCTAATCTTCTGCTGAAGGTCCTTTCCTATGTCTAAGTAATGCACTATTGCCCCGAAGTAATCAGCTCTCCTACTCAGAGCATCTGCAACTACGTTATACTTCCCCTTGACTGGCTTGAGCTCAAAGTCGTACTGATCTATCTCTGCGGCCCACCTAGTAAGCTTAGGTGTCATCTTGGCCTGCGTCTTTAACCATCTTAACGTCTCATGATCGGAATAGACTTTGAAGTGCCTCCCAAGCAAGTAGTGCTTTCAGTGTCCTAAGGCTTGTCTGAGAGCGTAGAGTTCCCTCTCATAGGTAGATGTCGCGACCTTCTTTGAAGGCATCCTGGCGGACATGAACTCTACGGGTCTATAACCGTTCCCATCGTCTTGCTGCAACACCACGCCTATGCCGTATTGGCTAGCATCCGTAGGGACGACAAAGGGCAAGGACGGATCGGCAACCTTAAGGATCGGGTACTCTATTAACGCCTGCTTTAACCTCTTCATGGCAGACGTGCAGTCCTTGTCCCACTTCCAGATGGTCTCTTTCCTCAACAATCTGCGAAGGGGCGCAGCGATGGTGGAGAAGTTCCTCACGAACTTCCTGTAGTAATTAGCTAAGCCCAGGAACGAGCGCAACTCTGTTAGCGTACGTGGCGTGGGCCAATCTCTAATCGCTGCGATTTTACAATCTTCTGGTTTAACGCCGTCTCCGTCTACGACGTGGCCTAGGTATAAAACTTGGGTCTTTGCCCAATCGCACTTCTTTGCATTGATCTTGAAGTTAGCTTCCCTCAGCTTCTCCAAGACCTGCATGAGATGACCCTGGTGTTCTTGGAGGGCCTTACTAAACACTAGAATATCATCTAAGTAGACAACAACAAATCTATCTAACCATGGTCTAAACAAATCGTTCATGCAGCGCAGGAACGTAGTTGGCACACTGGTTGGTCCAAAGGGCATCACTATGAACTCATAGTGCCCATACCTAGTCAAGAAGGTTGTCTTATACTGATCATCAGGATGCACGTCTATCTGATGATATCCGGACTTCAAATCTATCTTGGAGAAATACTTCGCCCCCTGCACTCGATCTAAGAGATCGTCTATCCTAGGCAGTGGCTCAACATTCTTCACTGTAATAGCATTCAGACCCCTATAGTTTATGCACATCCTCAACTCTCCCTCTTTCTTAGGAACAAAGAGAACAGGCGCTCCAAAAGGAGACGAACTAGGCCTAATCCAACCCTTCTCGAGGAGCTCGTCTAATTGCTTGCGAAGCTCCTCTAACTCCCGTGGGGACATCCTATACACAGTGCCCTTAGGACTTCTACTGCCAGGCTCTATCTCAATGTGGTGCTGGATGGGCCGCGGTACCACTCCTATCGGCGGCTCAGTTAGGTCCTGGAACTTTTCCAGCAGCTTCGCAATCGCAGGGTCCATCGACTTTTCTTCCGTAGGCTCAGTCGCTGGCCTAACATAGGCAACAAAAACCTGTTGCTCCAATTTTTCCTTCTTCACTAATCTCGCGAACGCAGGAGCACTAAGGCAGCAATGTGCCAAGGGATTCTCTACTCCTGACACATGGAACAAGCGGGCAGTCTTGGCCTCACCTGAAGAACCAGGGAGCCTACACTCGTGCTCCTTCAAATGGAGCGTGGCCCCGGCTGCCTCTCCCCAATCCATCCACAGAACAATATCAAATGGGAGGCTGTCTTCTACGAGGAGAGTCAGGGAGTGGAGGACCTTCTCCACTTTCCCATCTTTCTCTAGGCGGAAGTACGCCTGGACTCCCTCTACGTAATCCTCTACAACCATAGTACGATTGTCCGCGAGGATACTAACTATGGGGTCTGCTAGTTTCTGGACTTTAAGTCCCAACCTCAATTTCTACAGCGCTTTCTTACTAATATAGTTGCGGGTGGCCCCTGAGTCTACTAGGGCCCCTACTCTAACTCTAAAAATATCTGTATCTAGTAATGTAAGCTGTCCTTTATTCTCTTTCTTCATCTTGGCCCAGGCGGGCACCCTCTCCTTCAATTCATCAGCCACGCCTGTGAGGGAGGTGTCTAGAGAGACTCTAACACAAGCAGTCTCTGGACAGCGATCTAGACACCGGCCTGCAACCTCTGCCAGAGGCACATGTGGTGTGGGAGTCTCTTGCCGGCTAACGCTATGTTCCCCACATGGCCTAATGGTATGGGCAGTTGCTACCCCTACCGGCGGCTGCCTTTTGGCCCTTGAGCAGTCGTCCGGCTCTCTCTATACTTAGGACAGTATTTGATGATATGGCCCGGGTCACCGCAGAAAATGCACTGGCCCCGGTCCAATCGTTGTTGCCATAAAGCTTGGTCCAGACCCAACGATTCCCAAGGCCTACCTTGCGGTAGCCCTGGATGCCATCCTCCTATCCTATAGGGAGACCTGTTCCTAAGACGATTTTGCGGGGGACCTTGACCCCTTCCTCCCGCTTGGCGGTTTCCTCCTCTGCCGCCAACCCCCTGATCGCCCTGGAACCAGCTCCCTGAGGCCCGGCCCCCTTGGCCCTAGCCTCGTCCTCCTCCTTGCGGCCTCCCTCCAGCCGCGACAGCAGCGTAAGTTCTCCCCTGGCCCACACCGTTGTCCTCCTCCTCTAACCCCTACTCAATCTGATCGTAGGGGATCTCATCCACACTACCCTCGTCTAAAGTTAGGACAAGACTATCCTTAGTCTTCACTTGCCTAGAGATAGTGCGGCCCTTCCATTGCTTTCCCTTGTCCAAATCTTTGTGCCAGAAGGTGGAGACTGACACAGACTTTGCCTCAAAGGCCACCACTTCACGGCTAAGAGAATCGTAAGTGGTGGCAGGGTCTTCGCTCTTCGCGAAGAAGTGCCCGCGAAAAGCTTCGGGCATAGCTCTGTAAAAGAGCGCAACCAACTGGATCTCTGTAACCCCGTGGTAAGGGACAACTACTAGTTCGTCCATTGTGCTCTTGAGTGCCCTGGCACTCTTCCACTTACGAGCATGCATCGTCTGGAGCTTATCTGAGGCCTTGACACTGCGAGCAACATCTGCAAATCGCTCGCGCAGCAATTTCATGAACTCAGCGAAGGGAGTGAATGACGAATAGGCAACTGCATCATCATTGCAGTTGGCGGCGTGAACTAGGGACCTTGCAAAGCTGGCAGCTTCGTCTCTGAGCGCATGGATCGCAATCAAGACATGCTGATCCGGGGAGACCTGTTGCAGGTGCACATAGGTCTTGACATTGGCCTCCCAATTGTCAAAGTTTTCTTCCCTCTTTCCAGTGTAGGAATCAGGGAACTTAACTTTGACTGGCTCCCTACGAGGACGCGGCTCGCCCTCCTTGGGAGCTGCCACCTTGACGCCTTCGATGGCGCCAACACAAAAACGCTCAGTCTTCTCGAGGCGATGATTCACCTCGACTCCTACAGCTCCTACCAATTCGCGGGCAAATTCCCGGAACCCCATCCGCATCGAACGCACAGCTATGTCCTGACTTCGGCTAAACTCGTATTGTTGTTCTTGTACTCTCGCTAAATGCTCGACGCTCTGGGCAATGATATCCACCTTTTGTTGGAGGTCTACCTGGGGGGTCAATCGTAGAGTTAGTTTTTGCACCTCCTCCAGCTCTTTAACCGCCTCACTTGCCGCCTCCACTCTTCTTTTCTTCTCCCTCATCATTGCGAGTTTCCACACCATCCTCATTTCCATCGCCTGTCGCTTCAGAACATCTTCTTCTTCTTCCCATTTCTTCATAGCGGCTTCCTGCTCATCCTTGGGGATATACATGGTTACCTCTTCGTCTTCGCCCAGGGATAAGTTGGCGACCCACTCCGAAATCCGTTTCTCCATCTCTTCGTCTTTGCTGCCACCGTGCTGCCCCCTCTTCCTTTGCAGTGGCGTTTCATCTTCCTCTTCTTCCTCTTCCACCTCTTTCATCTTCTCCTCTTCTTCTTTCTTTATTCTCTCCTTCTCCCTGGCCATCTCTTCCTCTATCTTCTTCAGCTTGGCCGCCTGCTCCTCCTGTAGGGCCTTCTTCTTGGCCTCTTTCTTCTCCTTTCTTYCCCTCAGGACGRCGRCCATCTTCTCCTCCTCCTCCTTCGTGTAAGGTTGGGTGGAAGTACCACCCCGAGTCCCTACTCTACACGTGAAAGTGGGCCAAAAGCCCAGAGGAAAGAGGAGACGCCATAGGGTCCCCCAGAGGGAGAACCCCACAAGCAGCCCATACATCGTATATTCATCCATCGTGGTATCAGGTGCACGACAAGAGTCCCACTCCTTACCACTTAGACCTACCCGGACACTGACCTACTGACTGACTCTCTAAGGTCACTACTCATAACTACTCTAAGGCTGTCACTACTGAACCAACAGCTGATCAGGAGGCATTTAAGGAGATCCCCCAAACTCCGCAAGAATTCTTTAACATCGCAGTCAGGACGACGTGATCAGCATGGTTCTTCCTGGCGATTTCAGCCCACAACTCAGCCGTTCCGGCCTACTGTGCCACACCGAGCAGCCCGCCGGTCTGTACCGGTCCTTGGAGGGGTTCATATCCCTCGGGACAGCCGAGTCGTCAGACACAGATCATCAGCCTTACTAGGTCCGGTAGGGGAGTGGTTCAACCAGGCCTCAACACTTAAAGACGGCCTTCGTTTCAGCCCACAGCTCGGAGTTCGGACCCTCTACACTAAAACTGAGTAGACCTACCGGACAGTACCGATCATTGGGCTAGACGAGTTGTTTAACGAGCGCTCGCCGCTCATGCCCAAGTCTCCAGCTGCCAGAGTAGAGATTAGTCCTACTAAGTCCCGTGCAGGTTTGGCAGCAAGGCCCTATCCTTCATCCATACAGTCCTAACACCTAGGTCAAAAGAGACTCAATGCAGAAAGAGTAGACAGACAGACTCAGCAAGTACTGTGGGGTAGGTGCACATCCACAGGGTAAGGGGATAGGCTAAGGGTTCAGCGAGATATCACCAACTCCAGCTTGGTCAAAATCTTGGTCAGCAGCTCCGGTCAACGCCTTGGTCAATGCTTGGTCAACGCGGACAACCCCCAGTCAACTCTTGGTCAACACCCGTGGTCAATGCCTGGTCAAACCTCTGGTCAACCCTTGGTCAACCCTCTGGTCAACGCCCGGTCAACCCTTCTCCTCGGCTATGGCTGCCAGCACCTTCACCTTCGTCACCCTCGCCACTTACTTCCCCTTCCTTCACTCTTCTTCCTCCTC